AACTTGTGCGCATGTCAAAAACTTTAACCCTCTTTTATTTAGGGTCAATATACAAGGAAAATCCATTACCACCAACAAGCAGTAGTTATTTTCCCGCCAGAAATAATGCAGCTGCGTAGCTCTCTCATTACTCTGCTGACTGAGGAGGCTTTAAACGTAAAGGCTAAACGTCAGACGCTGGTTTACTGTAAATATTCTAAAATGTTTCATAGGGAACTACCTACACCCTGTTCAAATTTGTCAGCACTGACTGTTAGAATTATTAAGTTCAACTTATATTTTTATTCTGAATATTATAAAACGGATCAAATATTAATCAATTCTGAGGCAGAGGTGTAAATGGGAAAATGATATTAAAATAGGTCGTAAAGAATAAAGTCACAAGGGTTTGGACTAAATTTACCTGTCTCAAGATGGAGACAAATGGTAAGATATTATGAATACAATAATAAAGCTTCAGGTTTATTAAAAGGCAGTATATTTCTTGACTAGCTAAACCACTATCAGCTTCTGGAGAAGGAATATGCTATATGGTATTAGTTTCTTAAAGAAAATGTTTGTCAAAGTCACCCACGATCATATTTCATGTTCAATTCTTTCTAATAGCTCAATTGTAGACCGGATTCTGTAGTTCCAGAAAAATACGTAAAATAAAACTATATTAAATGAAATAATTTAAAGCTATACTACTTTCGATACGAAACTTATATTTTCTTATTTTTTCGTCAAATATTTTTTAATATGAAACACGTTAACGTTTGTACAAATGCCATTAAATGCACTAAATTATAACGGTTCACCCCTCCCCAGCGAGGCATTATACATAGACACATTTACGATTCCATTCAGTAGAGTTTCTTCGTTTTAGCTATTAAAACCTATCGTTCTACTTCAAACTGTTGTTCCCCTACCGTATTTATTTATTATATAGATTCACCTCATGTGTCCTTCGTCATACTAAGGATTCACTACGAAATTTACCCCCTGTTTTTCGGGAAATAAACAACTCTAATGTTGGGTCTTTTTTTTGGTTCTAGCAGAAGTCCGAAAATTCTAATCTCAAAATCTCATATCCATTTTCCACTGCTTAGGTATTTCTAAAGAATTTGTCCAAGTGTTGGGCCCTAGATTTGGGGTCAACGGTTATTATCCTCGACCAACAACCAAGCTGATACATTACCCCTTGTCAGCTGTCGCGATTTCTTATTCAGCACATAATTACAGTTGCCTTTCGTTTCTGAAGGCCGTCTACCCTGAGGACACGTGACACCGTGGCGACAAGAGATAAGTTTCAAATAGGTACTGGTAGGATTACAAATACGTGCTCTAATCTTCATCACTATGGTATTATGGGGCAGATTTCACTGGAGAACATATAATAGCTTAATTGGATGTAACAGAATAATATAACTGTTGGTCGATTATGTAACAAAGCCTGTCCTGCATTGATTGCCATTGATAATTACTAACAAAATTGAATTCGCGTTCTCATATACGCCTCATTTGCTAAATTATTATACCAACATCTGTAACAATCGCTATCTCTATAAATCGATATATCGCAAATGAATATACGGCGAGGGAAATTCATTTAGCATAATAATGATGCAAATAAGTGGTACCAACATCGTCCCCCCAACCTCCCCTTCCAAAAAGTGTAACAATTGAGATAATTACAGGAAGGTGTAATGTCGAAATGCCCCTTTGGTCATATACCCTCGCGAGTATTAATTATCCCTTTGTTTACACAGCTTTGACATTTGCATTTTTAATATGAGGTACTTAAATTATCCTAATGTTATTGAATTATGTGAATTTCAATGGATAATTAAGATTTTAGATTTGGAGATTTTTTGTTTAAAATATTCTATACGGTATTGGGTGTCAAGTGTAGTAACCATGTTTGGGTCCATTCGATCTCAGGAGTTTTCCGGTTAAAGTAATTGAATATTTGAGGAAGCTTATAATTTGCTCTCCTATTTACCTCACCATCGCTTGTTATAAGTAATGCAAACACTAAATAATACTACTTACTCTTAATTAAACGTCGCTAAATTGTCTATAAACCTACGGTTTACTTCTTTGAGGACCGCCAATTATAGGCGATTTGCAATTATCTTTACAAAATTACACTAACACTAATTTATGTATCTCCTCATTTTTACATATGATTGCAACTTTAATGCGAGTGGCATTGACAATCCTTTAAGAAAGTTATTGAGTTTCAAGTTACGCCAGTCGTAAACTGACCATCTAATTACCAGGTATTTAAAAAATTCTATATCAGTATAACCCAAAGGTTTAGCACCGTCTAATCCGAATTATCAAAGATTAAATCCTTCGGTTATTTTTGTATATTATCTTCCTACATTTGTTAGAATTTTAATGACTGCTTTTAATTATGCTTTCCGCCATTTTGAATATATTTCTTGTTATTCCTTACGACATTCAAATATTCCTTCAATTCGTTGTCTAGTAAATATGAAGAGATGAAAAATTTACGCTCCCACTTAATCCCTTGTAGCACTAAGATTATTTACATGATAACTAAAATTCTTTTCCTAACATAAAGAAAACATCTCGTCTCCATTAAAGTTAAATCTGTTGACGTTATTTAGACAAATAATTATTTTTATTCTGAGAATCGTACGAAACCCCATTGGCCAAACGCAGGGGTAGTGAATATTAAAGGAGATAGCACAGAGTCAACACTGGTCTTTAAAGAGCTAAAATACATGCTAGTTTCAATACAGCGAGCTACATCGCTATCATATTTACTGTCTTCGTTTCACTGTGTTTCCATCTCCTTCAGTGATTTTCTGAAAGTAAGTTGTGTTTTTTCTTTTTTTTATTCTTCCTTTTTATGTGTCCATTTCTTTAATCCTCACTCTATCTTCACCCCATTATATCTCTTTAGGCCACGTTCTTTCCAGAGTCGTAGACATTCAATGTTATCTACTGATACTTCCTTTCTTTCTGCGTCACTGGTTCTTAACCTTCCATCTCATTCTTCGTTCTCTTCATCAGCTCGCAGACACACATAGACACAATGTTATCGTCTCGAATCTGTCTCTTACTTTTCGTCCAATTCACTCGAAGGTCATCAGTAAAAGTGTTACAGAATGGACAGGAAACATCTTGCACCAGCCAAACAAAAAGCGAACAAAATTCTTTCACGCTGTGCGCCATCTTATCATCTCGTCCATATTCTCTGTGGGACGTCTCTAACCTATATGTTTGAATCAAATCAGAATTCTTTCTCATTTTCTTAAAGCTCAAACGTCTGTTAGGATTATAATACACATTTGCTACTGATAACAGATTTATTACTCAGTACGTGGTCCTTTAACACCACATAAAACATTACAGGATTATTCATGGCCTTATGATACGTTCACTTTGTAATTCTACACCAAACTAAGTAATTTATTTAATTATGTGAGACCAAAATACAATAAACAAATTCACCTGTCAATCAGCAAAATAATGTCAGATTATATATTTTTTTCTAAAATTCCATTATAGATTCCTACATCAGGTCAGAAAGATAAGATTAATAAAATAAAAATTATATACCTGTTAATTTTATCACTTCCGCCTTTACAAGAGAAGATGACAAATTAACTACAATGTTCCATCAGAAATGAAAATAATAAGAAAATAAAGATATTTACTCTTTTCGTAGATATTACATTGTTTTTATTTGCACAAAATTCCGACGTCAAAAATTGGTTAATATTACAATAATTTAAATCAACAAAAATTTCTCACTTTTATTTTTTTTTACATAAGGGTCCTCCCTAATATATCTCGCCACCGCCAATGATTTATTTCCTTAAACAACTTTAACCATTTCATCCTCGTAATGATAAAGTGTTGTGTTTCCTTTGAATTCAGGAAGGTACCGCAGTACAAAACAAATATTCCCATGACCCTTAACCTTCTACAGGCGGCGAATTAAGACGCTAAATACATAATACACACAGTGTGATAAAATTTCAAACATTTGTCAAGGAAACCGTCATTAGACACAAGAGGCTTGGATTTAAAGGCACCTCTGGGGGTATAACGGACTGGGAGTCACGCTAATCACTTTCTTTAATGTACTGCTGAAATAAATAAATAGTGGAGTTATACCACCACCTCCCATAATTCTTCATGGCATAGTGGACAAAATGTATCGGGGAAAATTTAACATTTTCAATATTAAGACTATCATGACAGTAATTTCAAATTTATTTGAAAACTAATAATAAATATTACATTATCGAGAATCTTGTTACGTGTAAAACTTCTAGATGTTAATTAGAGATAATTTGCCATGCTTTTGGTAACATACCAGTAGATTATTCTGAGAACTTAAATAAAATGTTAAAATAACTACGAACGCTGTATGATTATTTATATCCTACAAATTTATCAAGCACAATTCATTTTAATGAAACAACTCATATGAATAGCTTGTTTTGTATGAAGAAGACCACGAGGAAATAAATAATTCGTGAGGTAAATTGAAAGGGACATTTTACAAGCAGTGGCTAATTATGGTGGACAAATGGTTTGTAACCTAGCAAAAAGACGCTGCAAGTGCATATAAGACTGAATAAGACCAAGGATAAAATTAAAATTACTTGTTAGAAAAAATCCGAAAAAATAAGAGTAGAATCTCAAGGATAAAATGTAGAAGGGGGCAAACTTTAGAAAAGTTGAAAGAAGTCAACTAATGAGAAAACATAAGAAACGAATAACAAACTAAATAAACAACACACAAAAGGGACAAGGGATAACTAAAAGTGAGAGAAGAAAGAAGGGATAGGACGAGGAAAAAATTCAAGAAATAAGATTGAATTAAGGAAATTAAGAATGAAGTTCAGGAAAATCCGAAAAGGAGGAGATGGAACGCAGACTTCTATGTGGACGGAAACAAGAATTCGCTCAAGTTAATAAGACTCTCCCACAGAAAACAACTTTCTTTCTTTCTTTCTTTCTTTCTTTCTTAGGCTCGAAGCATTGGGTTCACACAGCGCCCTATCTGCCGGCAGAAACTGGCAATCCTTACCCACGCTGCCTTCTCTTATAAACATTTGACAGTCGAAATTCAGAGATGAGATGAGAAGAAGAGGTTAGTTTGTACACTGACTTATCATAACATTTACACCATTCGTACATGTTTCCCCCTGAATATTAGCCGTCACCAAATTGCGTGCTTCAAGACCACAGAAAATACATATATTTATATATATTAATTTTATGATAAAATAATAAACACATAATAGAGGAAGTACAAAATTTTAAGGTTGAAGTTTGTAGCATTATTTGGTGAAACGTCAGCATATTAATTTATATATATAATGATTATAAATAAATATGCACTATTCATTTATAATCATGATGCTGTTTTGATTTTATCTCAGATAAAACACGAGGCTTCTATGGTTGGTTTATTTACTTCCAGTCCCAAAATACGTTCATGTTTTTGCTTGGATATTATTTATCTACATAATTAGCAATGTCGATTGGTGATCATTTGTCGTCGTTAAAGGATTTTCGGCCTTGCGTTAATATTTATGAATGTGTGTGTGGTTATAACCGTTGCCATGGTATGGTGATTATTTGCTATTATGGGATTTTAAGCTTTATGGCGTAATATTATCACTGTTGCCATGGTAATGCTGTTAAGGAAGGCTCAGTATGTAATCATAAGAGCCTCGATATATGACGGTCTTTGTGATTTCGAAACATGAAATCGTATTAGATTTTTTAAATCAAGCATAGATAAGTATGATATTAATTTTTGTTACACATCAGTTAATTTTAATTTTAATTTTTTAATACTACTTAAGAACTCACGTAATTCTCAACTGTCAATTTTATAATTATTTATAAAAAACTTTAATGCTTCGGTAGTTGTTTTTAGTCCAAATGACGAATTTGTGTTAAAATTAATATAAATGTCTGTGGGTAGATAATGTTTCGAGGAAAGTACTGCTTCCATCATCAGGTATAAGTGGGTTACAATTGTAACATATTACCCCATATTCAGAGCTTAAATGAAATTTCACCCTAAATATTTTTCAGTATGCTCCGAAACGTTGGAATTTATCTAGAAACCTATACGGCGTTACAACCCAGAAGATGAACATCGAAGAATGAATGAATACTTGCAAAGGCAGTGTGGGCGGTCTGACCTCCCCCTCCCCCAACTTACCCACACCCTTATCTCGTACGGAACCCGCGAATTTCACGGTCCACGTTTGCGAAACTAATGCGATCCATTTCTCCTAATTACTCACTAGTAGCGCTGGTGCAGCTCTCCAGTTCTACAAGCGATACAGGTTTATACTGCATTACAGCTGAAGCCTTCTACAAGCAATGGGAGACATCTAATAGCAGTGGTCCCTATTTGTAATCTTCTGAAATAATAGTTCACGACAAGAAAACCAAATAATCGTGTTTAATAACAGCGCAGTGATGCCAAACGCAACGTTTAAATCCTTCAACTGCTTTGAACGAATTATTTCGATGCATCTTGCCATAAACAGCGCGAATTATTTCCACAGAATGCTTGTATCATTCCGCCAATAATGTTTCCACTATGGACAAATGACTTTTTACAAAAAAAAACACTATATTTAAATTTTGTGGTTTTAAAACTGACAGTAAAATACATGCGACATTTAATTATGTGAAAATATTTATATAAATACTGATTTATTTACAGATCTCTGATAATAGCTACATCAGTTAAAATTGACGCAACATTAATACAATTTCCTCTACGCTAGCCATGTTTTATTCCACGGGGTTCACAGAAACATTCGCAAGGACGAGAAAGATTCTCTCAGTAGACGAGACGATAAATATCAACAGCCTCTCACTTCAGCAACAAACAATATCGCATTGTAATAATCGACAGTGTAATTTCTTTTGGACCTAACAGTCTTAGTGGTGGTAAAAATTACACAATAATGGAATTGCAAATTGAATGTCTAGAATTTTAAAGATTCTCAGCCAATTCCAGCCTCCAGACTCTTCGAATGGAGCTGTAGTCGAGATCGGAGTGTTCCGGACTGGACCCAGTGTTATTTTGAGTGTCGGAAAGTCATTTTGTCATTTATTTTAAAGCCAGAAGATGTCAGATAGAGTCAACTTAACATAAGGACAAAAGAAGGCCTTGTACCTCGTTGTCATGAATACGGCACAGAAAAAACGATTCTTGGAAATTTTAAAAATTAAATTATTTAAGTGTAACCGTTTCGCACATACAGAAAATGGGAAAAATTACATTTTTAAATGCTGCATTTTAAAACAATTCTCTCGAGTGCATGGTAGCAAACATTTCCCAGAGTCTAAAGTATTTTTAATTTTTTCGTAAATGCAATTTTGATTTCGCACTGTTTTTCGTGAACTTTGTCACGCTGTGAAAAGATTCATTATCTGTGTCTGTATTGTGATTTTGTCCAAGATATAAATATTTTTGTAGACCTACCCACATAATGGCGTCTAATATTTTATTTTATTCTTATGAGAAGCTTTTCAATATAAAATATATAATTATCTGTTTTACCTCGATGTTTCGATGCCCCCCTATACAGAAGTTGACAACACTAAAGTATTGATGTGAGGGATGAAACACACTGGTATTATTTAAAGACAATTTACGTGGAAATGTATTAAATAATTCAAAAACTACTATTATATTGCCTTTCCTTCATAAACATCCGTTTAAAAATAAATTTGTATACTTATAAAAAGTAGTCGTACATTGTTATTAAAATTAGTAACATTAGTAATTAGCATTTTTAAAGAAGTTTAACTGTTATAATGAGTTTTTAAACATGCTTTTAATTAAGCCAGAAAACTTCTGATATAAATTAAAATAGATGTAAAAGAGAGAACAAGAAACCAGAAAATTATTCCGTGTGCTGAAATATGGCGAAGAAGTTAATTTTTTTGTTATTTAATTTGGATATTACATTCTTCTTCATATTCACTTTTCCTTCGCTAATTAATTCGTTTGTTATTTAACGATACTAAATCTTGCAGAGGTTATGTTAGATCAAAGTTGTCTACTGCGAACTCAAAACGTGAAAGAGGAAGTAGTAGAAATGCCTGAGAAAAATCACCACAAACTTTAATTTTCGAGACCACCTTTCACATCCATATAGAACAACAAGCAAAATCATAGTTTTTAATTTTACGTTTATTTTTTTTATAGCGAATCGATTCCAAACTGTATGGTAGCAAGAACTTCTTAGGTGAATGAGTTCTTATTTATATCATTGTTAATATAATTTTGATTTGTTATTGTTGTTCCAATAATCTCAAATTTGCAACACTTAAAAGTTCGTAAGTTGTTATTACTTAGTTTAAATTCTTTCGAAGATAAAATTATATTAAGTACAAGAGAAGTAGAATAATATTTATTAGGCTATTTAAAGACACTGTTTACACTACACAGCTCATATAGAACTGAGTAAAATGGGATAATAAACATGAATGTATAAAACCGCGAAGAGATATTAAACTGTTTCGATATTTCATTTATCTCGATGCTTCGGATTCAGTCGAAATGTTCACCGCATCGATAACAGAGCTTACATATCTCGAATGTCAGGATAACTGATAATTCGAGAAAGTTCTGACCGGTAGCTTCCCGAACACAAGTCTAGAACCTTTTATCTTCTCTCGGAGTACAAAAGAAATAACTAAAATAAAGTGAGAATAATAAAGATTAATAAGAAAGATTTCCTTCAAGCCCTGTAGTTTATTAGCAAATTAGTAATGCATTAGGCGATAAATTCAAGCGAAGGCGAGAACTACTTTTTATAACCGTGACAAGCTGTTCCCCCATTCATAATGGAGAATTAAACTGACAAACGGAACGCAGTATGTCATTGGGAGACGAAGAAAAAATACAGCACTGTAACTCAGGAGTGATTTGTTGGACATCAGTACTTTGACACTGAATTTGTCCGGCAGATTTCGATTTCATGACGTAACATACAGAATTACAGATGCTGTACATTACATTTGATGTTAATTGTATTTAGGAAAAAACGTAACCTAGCAACCATTTTCAACAATTTATGCATAAACTAGCACAGTAAGTTCCGTACAATTTGACTGAAATACGCCCTATTTGTGTTTAAGAATATCGCATTGAAGTTATAACATTTATAAAACTTTTAAAAGCAAATTAAATACTGAAAAATCTTCTCGGTAAATGAAGCCAGACTCCCGTCAAAAGCCTTTAAGACTGAAAATTAAGAGCAGAATTAAGGACCAACATTTACATATATGCATCCTCTAACATCGATGTATATATATATATTTTACAGAAGAGGAGTACTGTGTAGATATTAAATTCATAATAAGTAGCCTCATTTATAATGTTTCCACATACTAATGAAATCAGATAACTGTTATAATTAATTTCATGAAATGAAACATTAATAATTAGTCAAGTCCAAGAGAAAAACTACTGTCCATACAGGTAATCGAAGTTTGGAAAGTGATGGGTGATGTAGGTAATAAAATTCTGCTTTTGTAATGGTTTATTTTATGATTCTGATGTGTTTTGAGTCCAGGACATTAATTAAAAATTTTAAACTTTTGATTTAGTTACGTATGTCTGATGCTTAACGTGCCTGAAACAATGGATATTAGTAACAACGTGTTATTCTACATCGAAACTCTTGTGACCTAGGGAGCCTATTATGGTAGAATGGTCACAGAGGACATAGTTCTGTACATGCGCACAATGACGTAACGTTTGATTAGCTTTTACGTCACATGGTTTGGTTCTCAACCGAAGCAATGAACAGTGATCCAGGAAGGATTTAATTTTAAACTTCAAACATGTACCAGGAGACGGGGAGACAAGAGAATTCTTGCGGCCGTGTTATTGTAACTGTGGATCATGAAGACGTCCGTAGCTCAAATCTAAATCAAATTCCACTCGAAGCCAGTGAAGAAAATTTCCCTTTTAAGTTTTGTATTCTTTTATTTTACTATAAAGTGAATTTTTCAATCACTGTATAAAGAGGAATGACTTTAAATAGGAACTTAAGAAGATTTATGGCGTGTTTTTGTATGGCCTGAATTTAAAATAACGTTGATTTATAAAATATACTATAAAATTAGAATAATACATAAATACAACTGTCGAATAATCAAAATTCCTGCCTCGTATTCGGGAAATCCAAG